GATGCCTGGAAGCGCAGCCTCCGCGCCAGCCCGGCCACAGTCTTGCAATTGTTCGGCCACACTGGAGGGAAGAGGGAAAAAAAAAAAAAGGCATTCCAAGCAGTGCCAAATTTTCTTTGATATGTTAATCTTTTGATAACAGTTTGAAAAGCCCTTGGAGACTTTTTTTAGATTTTAGACAAAATAGTTCATTTGTCAGGACTTCCCTTGTAGATAGGGTCTCAGTTATTAAGAATTGCCTCACTAACTCATGATAACAAAAGCAAGTGCAGAGGACAGCTGCTGGACTGCTTGTTGGTAAGAGAAACTCTTTCAGTTATCTCAGGATTTTTACGAATATCTGAAAAGAATAAAATAGGGACTGTTTAAGATACAAGTTTCTAAGTTTATTTACTTGCGTATTTTAAGCAGACAAATGATGACAGAGCATAAGCATATGTAACAACTTGGTAATTTTTTAATGCATATCCATGCATGGATTTTACTAGAGACTTGAGCTGTCAAAATTACATTTTCATCTGAGAAACGTGGTATTTAAATTACCCAGTGACTGCAGGAGATCTCAAAAGTTTCTTCTTTTGTAGCTTTCCAGACCTTGGAGTTTTTCTCTTGAAATTATGAAACTTCCAGTTAAACTGGAAAACTGGAAGAATAAACTGATGGCAACAATGTATGTATGCTAAAGCAGAATTAGTTTTTAAGGATTATGGACTTTGGGGCAAATGTTGGGGAGAACAGAGGGAAGATCTCTTTGCTTCCCACCCCCCAAATCAAACTTGAAGGGTAAAATTTGCACTGCAGTAGTTTGTTAATCGTGCCAAGTATTAGAAAACTGACCTCAAATAAGCTAGTAGTCCTTTGAAAGTGTGGCTTGAAGAACACTTCAGGCATACTGATTGAGACTTACTGTAGTTCCTTAACAACATTTTCCTTAATAAATATGCCACGAGTTCACTTGCACCTTTTATACTGTTGCTATGAATGTTTATTGCCTATAAATATTTTGGTAGAACTGCTTGGTATCCTGGTTGTTTAGTCAGGATAGATCAACAAATAGATATTGCTGTAGTAATTCAGAAAAGGTGCAACATTTTCTTCACTGTGGGGGATACATGTAGTTTTAAGATCTGTACACTGCTGTAATTTCTCCAGTGATCCAGTTTGTGAACTACTCCAAAATAATATCGACTTAAATCTGAAAGTGCAGGTGCTGTCCTACTCATAGCTACATACTCTTCAGGACAGAGGCAAATAGCAAATGCAGTTTAACTTAATTTTGATATACATTTTTTTACAAAGTTGCAGATTTACTGTTTAAGCTTGTGATTCAAATGTATGCTCTTAGAAGTACTTACAGTTCAGACACTGCTCAGCTGATCGCTATACCATTTGTTAAATTTATACCTATGTTCTAAAATGTTGCAAGTGATTTCATTCTTAGTCTCAGTGGCAAACAGCGATTCCTTTACAGACCTTTTTGATACTTCCTACTTTTCTGACTCTAGAATACGCTTAGCTATACAATAGTAGCTCAATGAGCAAAAATTATGTAAGTGGAGCGACAGTAACTTTCACCGTTTCCATTGTTTTTGGCCCCTTTCTTTAAGAGGAACAAATAGTGCTTTTTGGTTGCTATTTTCAGTTTGTTAAAGGGGGAAAGGACTTCTCTAGCTATTCACTCCAGGGAACTTGTGCCGGAGAGAGGCTGAGTGGCAGCCCTTGCATCACAGGCACTTTATTTGAATATTCCTGAGTCCACGTTGCTTCTTGTGAGTGGATTTCAACCTCACTTCAATTCGAGTACTAGTAAAATGTCGTACTCCCTTGTAGTCTGAAAAGTCCAAGGCTTATGTTTAAATATTTAATTAAATATTTAAAGTATTGAAATGTTTAATTTCCCACCATATTATAGAAAGAAGTAAAGATCGAGTGCAGATTGCTAAAGTCTCCTCTGAATTGGTGAGATGCTGCTGCTGCTTTGTTCAGGCTGACCCAGCAGCCTGAAGTCACCTCCAAAGAGGGCAACCCTGTGGAGCCCATGGTGGTGGTGTTCTAACCCCAACTTTCAGCAGGGTAGTGGCAAACAAACCCAAAGCAGTTATGCGTTTGAACTCGTGGTGATGAGCTTGGGCTGATGATGTGCCAAAAGGGATAAGATTGGAGAAAGAGTGCTGTTCTTCGTTGCTGAATAGTAGTGATTTTCATGACCCATCAACTAAGAAAAGATCTCTAACGTTTTCTAAGTTTAGAGATTTGAATTTGAGTTTAATATGGAAAATTACAGGCAGTATGTGAAACATTGAGAATGTGTGTGTTAGGTGAAGGTTGCTCAGTAAATGAGTCTGTATAAAATAATGCAGATGGAGCTAATGATGTGAGTCAAAAATAGCCTCCTAATGACCCTCGTGTATTCCCTGTGTGATTCTACCCAGCTGTTCAAAGAACTCATTGAATCACAGGAATTATTGCGGGTGCTCTCAGTGCTGAGATTTCTCTTCGTGCTTCTTCAGACTGATGACTTGACTCTCCTTCCTAGCTGTGGGACAGCCCTAAATTAAAGCAATTGCAGTTCTCTGTCATGCTGCTGCGGTGTCCCATAAGGTGCCTGTTCTGATGCGTTGGCCATATGGAAATATCAGTTGAGATTTATTGATCTTGAAGCTGTTTGCATTTATTTTGCTGCCTGGCGCTTTCCTGTATCAAGTACAGTTGTTGCTAGATATGTTAATCGAGATTGGAGTTTTGCCTGCAGGCACTGTTTTTGAGGTTGCAGTACACTATAGCAGGAAAATGCATGTTTGCTCAAGAGCAGACTAGTTCAAGTATGATAAATCTAATAATTCTCTCATGGAGCTGTAAATTCTACTAGAAGTATAATTCTGTAAATACACAAAACTTTTTCTGGCTGCGTGACTTCTTGATTGAAAATGTGATTTGTACGGTGTACATAAAGTTGTTTGACATTATTAATTCAAAGATTGTTCTCAGGAGCTTTCTTAGCAATCCTGTGTAGGTTCAGGGCAGATTTTAACTGGTTTTATATGTATATATCTCTCTATATCTTTCCCAGGATAAAAAGCTGCTTAGTGAAGAAAAGTGGCAATTTAAACAAAAATGTGTTTTAGAACTTGCATGACTTGTGTAACAGATAAGGAAGCATCAGTGGTACATATCTTTTGGCTTAATTTCCAAATTAATCTGCAGTAAGAAAGGTATTCATAGCTCAGTATTGGATAGTAATAGAAAATTTTCAGCTTAACAAAGCAAGGAGTGTGTGAGCTGGTGTTTCTATCAAAGGAGACACTTGTTACCAAATTAGCTTCCTTCCATACAGAACAAAATACAAACTGTATCAAGCACTCAATTTATGAAGTGCTGAGTTGTTTTTTACCTGTGACTGAGCCCTGTGTTGTGATGCAGTTCTTTGCTTCGAGTCTGTGTTTCTTCCACTAGGACTCTGTTCAGCAGTGGGAATAGATTTCTGAGGAGACCCAGATTTGGGCAGCAAAAGAAACTTTTTCTGTTGGGTTCCTGCTTCATTTGTTGACTTAATTGGAAAGGAGGTGGTAGCTTGCAGAAAACATGTGAGGATGTGATGATGTTGATAAACTGCAGGAGTTGGGAGGAAGGATCTTTTCAAGTTGGCATTGTTGCTGAATATAAGTGCACGGATCCAGGGTCTGGCTTTGAGAGGATCTGACTTGGAGTCTGGTGATTTGATTTGTGAAAATGTTGGGGAGTTAACGACAGCAAAGAACTTGGTAATGGTTGTGCTTTTATCATAATGCTGCCTAAAACTAAGCATTTTAAATAGTGGCATCCTAGTCTTCAATGGGCAGCTGAGATGAAGTTAAGTGGATGGCTTTCACCTTGATTTTTTTTTTTTGTAACAGCCTTCTGTCTGAAAAATGACAATTACAATAACTACTTGTGCTATGACAGTGAATCCTTAATACTTGAGGACTGCTTATGTAATAGGTGCTGTCTTCTGAGAGATTTATATATGTGCAGTAAATAAAATCAAAGGCTGTACAATGTCAGTGCAGAGAATGATAGTTAATCCATGTCTTGGCAGGTGAATGCTGGCTGTTCAGTGGTTTTAACTATGGCAGGTGGTCCTGTGGAAATACGATATGGGAGTAGTAATTATAAATTGCGTACAATTAACATGTACAGGTTAACATGTTAACCTCCAAATGAAGGTTAGATGCAGTTTTAATTCCAGAAATTTAGCTTTTTGACTTGGTATCTTTGATTTTTCTTTGTTTATGTGATGTTGAAACTTCTGATGAGCCTCATAGTATGTTGTAGCCTTTTGTTTGTAGTTCTTCCTTATTGGAATAGGGATCTGCGTGCACTGTGTTCATCTCATAGATAGCTTCATATTTTTTCATGCCTTTCCCTGTTCATGAAACTTGTGATCGTAATCTATCCTCAGAGCACCCCTCAAGATTTGCAACTGTGAGATATTTACAGTAAGAAGTGAACCCATTGATACAAATTGAATGGTAAAAGAATTGGAAAGAAGGGAAAAGACTGACTGACCATTAAGCATGTCTTGATTTAGAAATATTAAACCGGGGACTAAACTACTTTTAGCATGTACTTACTTTTCTGCTCAGATGAGAAATGCACATCTCAGGGGTACAATGCCTTTCCTCTTGAAGGATAGCCTGGCTTCTGAAAGCATCTGATTGGAGCTATTATGTATAGAATGATAGAAATGTATAATCTTGACCTACTTTTAAGCTTTTTTTACAGGTTTAATTTACGTTTCTGCAATATTTCACTTGTATTCAGCCAGTGTTCAATCTGAAAGCTTTACTAGAGCTCCTTGGGTCGTTACTACTGGAAACTAGTAACAGTGCAAATTTAAGATCTATATTATGTTGTCAGTGTGTTTTATATGTAAGCACTTACAGAAAATAACTCAAAACAACCTAATACGTAGGTATAAAATCATAATGTTGCTTCGATTTTTAATTCTTTTGTTGTTAAAGGTCTTCCATATCTCAAGTCGAGAAGTTCTATATCATACTAAACATGGAGAAAGAAGAAAAGAAATTTGTCAATAAAGCAGAGGAAGATGAGATGGTAATGAATTCTGTTCGTCTATTTTTATACAATGAAAGAAACACTTTTTCATGGTTTTCTCTCTAAATGGGGCATATTACATCAGGAAGTGGACTGTCTCAGTTTAAATCGGTTTAGCAATTTTATGAGGTTATCCTTGAAAATCTTTTTTGGTATTAAGAAACCTAGTCTTGGAATAGGGAATGTTTTTGTTGAAAGCCCTTGCAGAGGTGCTGGGTTGGCTACATTGAGGTCAGTACTGCAATAGATAACAGATTTTGGTACTTAACAACTTTTTTTTTTTTTAAAGGAAAATGGAAGCAAAGTGTGGTGCTTTGTGTGTGGTTGTTTTTTTCCCTTCAAATCCTGGAGCTTTTTTCTTGTCATTTAAAACAGGTTAATGCTCCATAATCTGACTGTACTCTGCATACTCTTGCATATTCATATTTATGCAGATAAGACCCACTACCTAAAGCATGGCAAGCCGTTCTATGGGTATTTGGTAGCACACAAACTTTGCATCCTACTGCAGCAATGATATCTCTTATCATTTGTCCTGGAAGACGCAGAAGTTAGCTTTGACAGGAAAATAGTGGCAGCTGATCTTTAAATTTCTAGAGACAGCAGAAACTATTTGGGGTATATAGGGATTTTTGTTTTAAAAAATGGTGGATTCCTGTGAATTGAAGTCCTTGTTCCGTCTTTGTGCACGCTGCTAGGAAAAGCTGCTCTTCACTAGACCAGCTCTAATATGGAGAGTAGGCAAATACACCTTACAACAAAAAATGAAACTGAGATGCTTATGGTCTGATCATTAAAACAAATGCTTTTCGGAGGAAATAATTTTGTTTTGCCCCAAGAGAAGATGAACCTCTCTCACCATCTTTCACCCACTTGTTTTTATTGGTAAGGAGTGAATACTGGCTCCAGTGTTTTGGGGGTAACAGAGAATGGGTTTTGTCTCAGTTTTTTGTCAGCTGAGAAGGCTGCAAAACAAACTTGTTGAAAAGCCTTTTCTTAGGAAAGGAGTTTAAACAATTTCTAGTACTGTTTAATGAAAAGTACAAAAAAATTTGCAAAAAGTTGGTGTCAATATGAACAATGTGGGTGGGACTCAATGGGAAACTTCATTGCCCTTTTGCAGCAGGAAATATAATCTAATGACGGAATGTGAAACTCAGGAATGTAACACAGCATCTAGTAAGTCACTGAATTATTTTCTGTTCCTGGCTGTCATCAGGTTAAGTTGGTATTTGCCTTTGACCAAGACACACTTAATACTTTGTGGGTTTTTTTAATGGGAGAAGAGGATTTTTCCAGCTGGTGCAAGTTACAGAGCTTTTGACAGTGTGGCTTGCAGTTTCTAATGTTTCACAGTAGCATTTCTTGTTAAATGGCAGGCAAAATAAACCAGTTTCTCTACTAAAAAGTTGTGTTTGATAAATATATTTACAGGCTTGTTTAGAAAGTATGAAATTCAGCTGGCACCAGTAATTCAAAATTATGCTAGCTAATCGGATGCTAGAGTGGTAAAATCAGCATTTGACAAAACCACATATGCTTTTGCTCTTAAATGCTTAGCTGACTTGTGCTGTGTCATGGTCAAAAATTTGGTTGTTCACTGAGAGTTAAGGCAGGTTGTGTTGCAACCTCAGTCCTTAAGGAGCAGTGCAGAGAGAAGACAGGTCCTGCAATGAAATGTTTTAAACAATGTGGATGTTCTGCTGTTGTCATGCCTTTATTGATATTTTTATTTCTGACTGAGTGAAACAGTGTTCCCTTTCGTTGCCACTCCCATCATGTATTAAGTTTTTTAGATCTTTCTTTTCCCCAGAAAAGAAAAAGGAGAAAATGACTTTGAAATTTGGTTTGCTTTAAATACTGCACTTTATGAAAAATTAATGTTGGCTTCCTGAGCCAGAGTAATTAAGAGGTTCATCGTTACTTGTTTCTCTGTTTCCATGCAGGAGATCTATGGCTATGATCTATGTCGCTGGAAGTTGGTGCTAGTTACTGTAGGAGTGATCTGTTCTGGTGGCTTTCTTCTCCTCCTCCTCTACTGGATGCCTCAGTGGCGTGTGAAAGCAACATGCAAAAGGACTACGCTTAAAGACTGTGAAGTGCTTCTGCTGAGAACAACTGTAAGTCTGTCGGAGGGTGCGCTTCTCCCAGTTTGCAGTTGTTTCGCATGCCTCTTGCTGCTTGCTAAAATACACAAATCCTTGCCTGCAGTGTAGACACGATTTTGCTTTACAGCACTGCAGAACTGTGCTCCTTGGTACTGTACATAGCTTTGCTGCCCGTATGGGAAGACTGACAGCTGTTCGTGGAGGACATAGCAAAAAAAGTCTTTGCTTTTGGATTTTAAGAATTAAATACGTGAATGCTGTTATCGTCAAAAGTTACAGAACAGATACCTTGTTCATATAACATGGTAACACGGTTTTCAGGTTTTTCCTCCCTGGTTCAGCAAAGATACATTTGTTGAATTAAGGTGTAACTGTGGACCCAAGTGTGGTTTGATCTCAAGTGATTTTCTTCCTCTACAATTGCTGTGTACAGTCCCTGGTTATGATCTTGTGTTAAGCCCTCAGTTATTTGAAGTTGCAGGGTGGGTGCAGCTGAATGCATAGGTATCCCATAGTTTCTCCTACTACAGAACAACTGTATTAAATTGTGGCAGGCTGAAGATGTCAAAATTCAAGTACCAAGACTCATTGCTTAAAAAAAAAAAATCTTTCAGTGCAAAAAGTATGCTTTAGAATTGTGGAAAGAAAATGTATTCTTAAGGTAGCTGATATTAACTTGGGGATATTTTCTGTAGTCATGTATGGGCTCTGCTAATCTGTCATCTGTTGTTGACACATTTTGCTACAGCTACTGTAGTAAAATGCTGTTTAAATGCTGTTTCAACCAACTCATTTTTTTCCCCTCTTTTTAAGGATGAATTCAAGATATGGTTTTGTGCAAAGGTTCGCAGTATGCCTTCTTTGGGAGCCAATCCTTTACAGAATCCTAACCCTATTGTACACAAGGTTTCAAATGGCCGTGCTGTTCATTTCTGTGAATCTGCTGCAGAAGAGAATAAAAATGATTTGAAAAAGTATTTGCCTGTAAGTAAACCTGCAATATTACGCTTGCTAATTTTCAAAGTATCTCAAGTAGTATCTAGAGTAAACACACATAATACTGTACATGTGAGCTGCTACTTTTGTCTAAAAGGCTAACTCGTTCTTTGGGTGGAGCACAGATCCACCACAGATCCACTTTTCCTCAATAACCTGTTACTAGAAATTGTGGAATGCTTGAAAGATTACTTAGAAAGAAAAGTTTTCATTTTTCAGTGAAATTTTTCTAAATTCACTTTCTATCGCTGCTCAGAATAAAGTCAATCAGAAGAGAGATGTTAAGCGGTACTAGTTTAATATCTATGTCTGCCCTTCCAGATTCGTTATTTCACACATCACAGCGTGAAGTATTTCTGGAATGATTCCGTTCAAAGTTTTGATGTTGTACGGTAAGAATACTTTTTGTGTTGTGCTTCAAACTGCATTTTTTTTTAAATACAATAGTATGCCTAAGAACATGGTGAAAATTCGTATCATGTTCTGACCAGCTGTCTTAGCTCATTGAGTCTTTGTTTGAAACATAGTGAGAGCAGGGAGATTTTAACTCGATGTGACTTTGGAAGGAAGGTATTTGTTTAATCTACCTTTATTGAGCCTGATTCGTATAGGGTGACAGGCTGCATGCCTCTGCAGGCTTTTTGCCTGTTCTTGGAGTGTTATTTGAGAATCAGAGCACCTGTTTATAGACGGTAGTTCTCCTCCTAAAAACTCTTAAAAACTTTCCTCCTGATGGAATAACTTATATTTTTTGCATTGCTGCTGAGCTAGACCCAAAAGGAGTATCTAGGAAGAGGGGAATTCACCGAATACCTTGTTGCTCACCTTTGTGTAGGTCTGCTGCTATGTTTTAGTCCAGTTGAGCTGAATTTGATCCCTCTTTTGTTACTCTTTAGTAACAAAAAGAGGTCTCTTGCATTGATAGAGAAGGTCTTTTAGTGAGCAGTACTAGCTGCGCTCACTGAATGTGATGCGCTGTATTTTCTTTTATCCGGCAGCACTGTTGCATGATGTTAGGGTTGAAGAAAAAAGTTCTTTTTTCTGATGCTACTGCTAAGGCCTTCTCATAGTGCTAACAAGTTAAATGAACACAGACTTCTCTGTTTTTGACAACTGCTTGTTAAAATAAGTTCAGGTCAGAAATAAAACCTCTTTTTAACTTAAATCAATGTTCACTATATTGAACTGTCATGTGGAAAAGTCCAGGCACTACATATAGAGAAAAATAATGACCAGTGACCAAAGGAAAGAAAAATAGCCAAAATTTCTGTAAGAAGAAACATACTCTGCAAATGTGTCTTATGTTTTTGAAAAAAGTATGTGCCAATAGTATGGAAATTTATCAGTAATGACAACAATTTAAAGAAATTATCATAATACAAGCAGTTACAAAACTGAACACTCCTCCTCTGGGAGGCTAGAAATGTCTCAGTTCACGTGTAAATAATTAAAAGCTTTGTATGCATTTTTTATGATAAGCCTCCCATGAATTACAGTGGTGCAGGTAGTGACGCTTGTCATTTTGCGTTACTGTTTTCATGCCTATAGTGTTGCTAATTTAAACTGTTCAAAGGGAATATTTCCCACAGATGAGACTAAAAAAACTCAAAACTACTTTTATGCTAAGAACAGGTATGGGAAAAAATCATACGACTCCACACGCGTAGAAAAAAATGTTGTTCCTTAGCATTAAAGCAGTGACTTGAAACCTGACATTTGTTGGCTGTTTGACTGTGCCTTTTGATGTTCTTGTGATAACTCAGCCAATTTATAAGCCCCGGAAAAATCTCAGATATGCCTGTGAAGTTATGTGAGCATTTATTCAATCACATTCTTGCTGATATGCCAAACTTTCATTTGTTTGAAATGAAACGACTGAGCCTGACCACTTGTTTAGGTAGGTACTATAGCTGAGCTGGACACCATTATTTAGCAATTGGGTAATAAAGAGGAGAAACAGCTGGATCTGAGACATACTTGGTACTGGCAGAGTACTAAGTCACTTTTGTACAAGGTCAAATAAGAATGAGAGTTTGCTATAACTCTTCTCTAAAGTGAATTAGGTATGATCATGCAATGAAGTACTAGATACCACCTGCGAAATAATAGCTGAACTTATGAATGATAAATATTCTGAAAAGAAGTCTTAAAAATTTGTCCTTCATCGAGATAATTTTTCTTAATCTGCTCTTCAGTTTATGTAAAAACCAGAAATCTGTATTACCTAGTAACATGGTAGAGAATCAAGTTAAAGAGACTGAGGGCTTTATAGTAAAATCCGTAAGGCAAGCCACACAGTTGTAGTTGTGATCTAAGCACAATACTGCATCATGAAGATAGATTCACTCTGTGCAGTTAATTATGCAAGTATCCAGAGACAGAAAAGTTGCATCACATAATTAAAGACTTAGCACAATACAGAAGGGAGGCAAATTAAGATTTCTTGGGCAACTAATTTGGTTATGAGAGCTTGACTTTCATATCATTGTTCTTCTTATAATAATGCAATATTAAGATCACTGTTTTAAACACAGGAAATGCAAGTGTAATTGTTCTTAAACTAAATCAGACGTAGCCAAAGAGGATGCAACTTTGACCTTGTATGTCTGTTTTGTTTTAGCTAGTGTCAACTGAATCCCTGAGTGAGTTGATGAGTGCTTTATGTAATAAACTGTGTGCACACGGGGTTTTTTTTAAATGCCCTGGGAATTCAGTACTGTAACAGTACTGTAAAAAGCAGATAACGTCCTGCTAGAAGCTTTGTCTTTGCATGGACATTACGCACATAGGTATGCATATTTGCATATAAAGCACTTAGCACCCTTCTTAAACCCACTGTTAAATTCCTTTTTGTGCAGGAAAAGAAAAATTGCATCATTTGGGACACAATGGGAGGAAAGGCGCAGTTATTAACAGGGAATTGTATATTTATTAATCTAAAAATTGTAATTTTAAAGTCCTTGAACTTGAAAATTTTTAGGGAAACCTTGTAAACCTGTGGCCAGATTAACACATTAACATTTTCACCTTCTGTTCTTTTACGAGAAGTTGGCGGAAACATGGTCCTAGCCTTTGCAATAGTGAGCATGTTTAAAGCTTTCCCTGTGTTCTAGAGAATGGAAATAATTGTTACTATATATGCACAATACAGAGTTTTTTCTTCACTGGGACAACTCTGAATCCTTTTTAGTAGATAACAATAAATATCCCATATAAAAAAGACTCGTGTTGAATAGTGCTGGTTTTTGTCATGTCATCTGTGAAAGCCTTTTGGAAGGTAATGATATTTTCCTGTGCATCCAAAGTATGTCCACTAGAAAATGCCTGGGTATTGGGCATGATATGTCCGATTTACTGAGTTTGGTAGTTGAAATGATCCCATAGCTGTAAATATAATGATGTTTCAGGTGTGCTTGCTTATCTGCAGATCTTCTAAATTATAGCATTTGCTTTCACAGCATGTAGAAAAGTCCTGTGAAGATGAGTCTTCCAGTAATAAGGAAGTACTTAAAATGTAGACTGTACCTAGTCATGGATAAAATTTTGATAGCAAGATGAGACAAATGAAGATAATTTGAAGAAATATTAATCCATACTGATTTCATATAATGTTTTAGAAAACTTGCTCACTTTTTCTTTAGAGGCCTTTGAATACTAGTTATGCTAGTATTTTACTTCATTTTTTAAGTGTATCTCCATTTTGATTGAAATAGATACGACTATCCTACAGACTAAGACGTGTCAACAAGAGGACTGCTTTTAACATCTCATTGGTATCTGCAGTTGTGAAAAAAATAGCTAGAAAAACATTAATCCATAGACTTTGTTCTTTTATAATACAGTGTAACTCTTGGCAAAGACCTAGCTCTTTTGAGTTACTGAATACTTCATTTTAAATATCAGGTTTCTTAATTAACTCATTGACTTTTTCCTTTAATTAGTGGTCTAGATGAATCTACATTCTGTTCTTCAATTCATAATGAACACAGCACAGGACTGACAAAGGGAATGCATGATTACAGGTAATACTACAGTATTTGAGGGAAGAATTGTTTTCGTTCCGTTACCTGTTCTCAAAGCGTTAACAAAATTAAAGACAGTTGAGTGATTAGTGTTTACAGACAGGCTCTTACATGTCCTTCAAAGAAGGCTGCTAGATGTATGAAATTCTTGTTTTTCTTACCTGTATGTTGGGTAGGAACTCGTCTCTGATATTGTGTTGACTTACTTTTCTCAAACTACACTGACCATGGGAATTGGAACTATTGCTTAAAGTAATTCAGAATATATTTCTGAAATTGTATTTACTACCTAACATTTTGAAATAAAGAGAGTGTACAAAAAGAATAGCAAGCAGTTACTTTTTCAACCACGTTGGCAGGTATACAGTGAAATTTGGCAGCTGATGTAAAACAAAGTAGTTATTTTTTCCACATAACTCACCTTTAAGTGACAAATGTTACCATAACATACTGTCATTGCTGAAGGGCGTGTATGGGTTCAGAGGCAAATAGACTGATTCCCGGTGGAAAAGTCCATCAAGAGTTCTTTAGCTAGAAAGATGCTCATTTGTCTCAAGCTGCAGATTGTTGAAGGCTTGAGGGGAACGCTGAGGGAGATCACGCTACTGCTTCTTGTTTTCTTTCCCATCCTTGGCTAGTGGTCATTGTGAGAGAGGGGGTAGTGTGCTAGGTGGCTACTAAGGAACATTGGATGCCAGGAAGCAGCAAACCTGGCCTAAACTGTAACTAATTTCTTATTTTAGGAAGATCAGGCTGAAACTTCCCAGGTCTCAGGACCTTGGCTTTAATTTTAAAAGCTCAGTTAATATCACAGGTGTGTCTTACAGCTTGCATGGATCTGTCTCTGGTTGGTTGGGGCTAAATGTGTTCCCCACTTTTTCTTTTAATTCTGGTTGGCAAGAAATAACTGGGGAAAAATACTAATTTTTTAACGTGCTATTTTCGACTAACGGTGTAAATATGCCTGTCAAAGGACACAGCTGAAGTGCATAGGTAGAGAAGAACTTAGTCTAGAAAAAACCTTTAAAATGTAACTTTAATGGTACATAGTTCAGGGATTTCTTAGTTCTCAAATGTGAACAGCAAGCTGGAATATATATTGTGAAAATGTAGATATGTCCTTAATTATTGGTGTTCGAATTTATTGATACGCTACCCAAACTAGAATAGTTTGAGTTCTGTTGCATTCCTGGCTGGTTTTTTCCAAATGAGACCTTCTTAGAGTTTAAATATGGAAGCATCTGCTTGCTCATCATTCCATTTTCTGTCAATTTGTGTCTCTTCCTACAATAAAAGCCTTTTCCTTAAGATCATCCTTTAAGGGCTTCTTCATGTCAATGTCATTTAACCAGCTCAGATCCCATCAGAGGTTAGTTTCTTGCCTCCCCCTTTCATGATTTGCCTTTCTTCATGCTAAGAATAAAACTAAGATACGGAACCATGAAAAACAGTGTCTTACTGCAGGGTAAGAGTTAACACTTGTTGAGCTTAAGTTAATGAGAATCCCATGTTGGCTTTTAGAATGACATGTCTAATAACATTGGACCTATACACAGTTTACAGGGAAATCTTACTATGAAAGAACCTAAAAATTAAATTACAGTTTAAATTGAAGTATAAAATAATTATCTTTGTATTGGAACATCTCGCTGGGTAAATGTTTTCTGATAAACATCTTTTGAAACAATATGATAAATAAAAGGGGCCACAGATTAAGTAGTATTTTATACTTTCTCATATTAATGGAATTACTTTAAAGTGAATAAGACTTCTAATAAAAACTTTAACTGTCTTTTGATATTTTTCTTTTTTTAATGCAGAAAAGCATTCTATGGAGTAAATGAAATTGCTGTGAAAGTGCCTTCCATTTTTAAGCTTCTGATTAAGGAGGTAAGATCTCTTCTTTAACAAATTTAAAATAAGGAGTATATCATTAAAAGTTACTTTAAGTACAATGACTATTGGACTGGTCTTCAAATAATAATGTAAAATAAATGTAAATAAACCTTCCCCCAGAGCCCAGCACTGTAAAGCAAAATGATATGGACCTTTATTTTTGAGGTCTCCAAACTTAAGAGATCTTAGCTTGTAAGCTCTTCAGAATTCATAACCTGGTGTCTTAGCAAGGACGTTAGAAAATGTGTCAGAATTCTTTGAGAGGGTATGCATCTAATTTATTTTTTGTTGTTCATATCAAACTTAAAACGACCGATTGTGTTCTCCATTATCAGACCAGGGATTATACGCATCAGATCAAATGTGTTCTTGCATATACTTTTGTTGGATTTGTTCCATTTTCCTTCTGTCAGGTGGATTTGAATAATTGACTTGTTATCCATGTGCTATAATAATGCATGATAGAAACTTTGAACAAAGAAACTCTCCAGCCTGAACTAATGGAGTAAGAACTTGAGGTGTCAGTGCATTTATTAATAAGAAAAAGATAATAACATGCAAATTAATTTAAGAATTGTAACTTAAGGTGCATCAGATATTCCTATCATTTTGCTTTGAGTTGTAGGGGAAAATGCACGCAGCCTTAAAAGTGTGTATTCGTGTAATATTTTAGTGAGAACTGTGCTTCTGAGGGTTTGAGGAAGTAGTGAAAAAGAGGGATCAGTTTGGCAAAACAGACAAAAATCATGTATAAAGAACTCTGAAAGGTTTATCTCCTCCATGGAGGAGGAGGATGATTCTGACTCTCTTCTGACGGAGAATGCATGTGACCTTTTGGTGTAACTTTAATGTTCTGTCACTCTTCTAGGTTCTCAACCCTTTTTACATTTTTCAGTTGTTCAGTGTGATATTGTGGATCACTGATGAATATCACTACTATGCATTAGCAATTGTGATCATGTCTGTAATATCCATTGTTAGCTCCCTCTACACCATTAGAAAGGTAAGTTCAAAGAAAACAGATGCATCTTTTCAGCTTTTTACTGATTGGTTTATTTTGATGTGAAATTGCCTACAAATCTTTAAGAATTTTTCAGAGGTATGCAGGTAGAGTACTGTTATGGGTTTTCCCTCTTTGAGCTGAAAGAATTTGGATTTACAGTTCTCTTCGAGACCCTTCTCTGCTGACTTTCCATGCTATTGAATCAGTAGGTTGACCTCAGATAACAGAAACACTACCTCACTTAAATAAAACCCGGACACAAGTTTATGTACCAAGTTGTATTGACAGTAGTGATTCCATCTTGAATTGTTTCCTTCTGTTTGAAAAAGTCCAATGGAATTGAGCACCAGCCAAATGCGCGGATTGTTAAATTGGTGATGCATTTTTCTCTGTAGACTTAGCTGTAGATGATGGAAATCAAAGTAGTAATTATCCTTAAATTGCAATCTCTGAATTCAGACCAGAGACAAAAAAAACCCTTTTGCCTTAATCCAAGTTCATACAACTACTGCAGCTTTACTTATGTATGTTAATGACCAAACGTTTTTATAACATTTTGTGTGGCAGTGTATATTTGCTTCCAGAATGCTGCTAAAAGTAGGAACCTGTACAGGTTGATGCACTCAAACTTTATTTGCCCAGAAGTTTCCTAAACTATGTTCAAGAGAATGTTTTGAGTAACATTTTGTTGTAAAAGGCTGTTAGTAAAGAATCTCATCACTTCTATTTGTAGAGATAGAATGTGCATTTAGAAGACAACAAGCTGTGCTTTTAAATAATGAACTGTTTTCTCCCCTTTGCAGCAATATGTTATGTTACATGACATGGTAGCAGCTCACAGCATTGTCAGGGTTTCTGTCTGCAGAGGAAACCAAGGTAAATTTCACAGGCAGTTTGGAAGGTTGAGTTTAAATTGTTTGTTAAGTGTGAGTGTAAAGTTGGTGTGCATCTGTGCTTTCTTTGATCAGCTTGAAACGCTTGCATTTCTTAGCAAAATTGCACGGGAAAAGGAGAAGTTGCAAAGTGGAATTTAGATAGGATAATCACCTGTTCAGGATTATCCTTCTAGATGGTATTTTTAGTGACTGTCAGGTTTGTTCTAGATTTGGTGTTTGTCATTATCTACCACTTCACATATGTAATTGTCACTGTAGTTTCTTTCTTGGCTTAAAGACATGCATGCGTTGGGTTTCCATTACAATTTATTACCCATCAGGGGCTGCAAATCGATTTCTGGACTTCTGCTCATTTGGATACCACAGTAGTTGAAGATGGTTAGGTTGTGGTGTGTGATATTGTTTTGTAAGACATGCTTTTGTATTGGACTTGTGTTTTTATACTGAAGTTATACTTTAGTTGTTAATATCACTTGTACAAGCTTGATTCCTTTCATTTGTTATGATGAACTATATCCATGTGCTCTAGAGTTTAATCTGTGATGGAACTGGGTTTATCAATGGCTTTTTTTCTTTTCAAAAACTTTTCATAATGCCATTAATAAAATGGAGTATAATCTTAATTGTCACCATCTGGATCTTAGCTGTGAGGACCTTTATCAGGTTTTGTAGATGGTGGCTATTTTCAGGTGAACTTGTTTGTGTTTTAACACTCAGAAATAGAAGAAATCCTTTCCACCGACCTTGTGCCTGGAGATCTCATGTTGATTCCATCTAATGGGACAATTATGCCCTGTGATGCAGTACTTCTCAGTGGTACTTGCATTGTAAATGAAAGTATGTTAACAGGTAAAGTAACTCGATACAGTTTTGCGTGGCTAAACGTATTAGTTATACCTATGTGCATGCTTAACTTGCAGTATTCTCTAGCAGAAGTGGATATGTTTATTTTGCTTGAAATGTGTATGTTCTTGCAATTACATATGCTCCTAAGTACTTACGTACTTGTGTTCTGCTTATCTGCAACAGCTACCTGGTAGTGCTTGGCAATGCCAAAAATTAGTGGTGGTTTCTTTTTGAAAAGCTTTCTTCTTGATAGTTTGTCTTCCTGCCTCTTGACTTGGTGTTCTTAGTGCAGATTGAGTTCTGCAGTATGTTTCTTCAGAAAATTTTTGCCCAAACTTTTTAGCTGCTTCCAAGAATGAAGGTAGTGAGTAGAATGTTCTGCTGTATTTAAAAACAGAAATTATCTCAAGTTGTGCCTGCATACTCAGAAACCAGGGACTGATGTATTTGAAGGACAGCTTCAGTGAATAGGATGGGCTTTTTGTTATTCCTAGGATAATCTGTCCCAACTGGCAGCGTTTAGAAAATTGTAGTTCAGAGATTGTGTGGTTTATCATGTTCAATTCTTTGAATATACTTGAGCCTCTTGCTGCTGCTAGCAAGATAAAAATTGATTGCAGCCCTAGCTTGAGTGTATTCAGTCACCGAAGGAGCTGAGAATAATTTTCTTCAGCTTCTAGTTTTTCTGAGTAAAGATGGGGTGATGCCTTGCAGCAGGAGAAGGAAGCTTATGTTTTCTTTCGATGAACTGTATTTTACACCTATCTGATTTGAAGTAAGAGGCACAAAAGCTGTATTGGTGGATAACGAATAGAGTTAAGTAAGATTTGGATAAGGAATCTGGTGAGCTGAGGCTAATAGATGAGAGACTACCTAATAACGTGCTGAAAGGAAGATGACTTCTTCCATAAGTCTGTTTCTGTGCTGATGAAGTGAGATTATATTGTTCTACTTGAAGTTGTGAAGGAAAAAATGTCTATTCTTATTTGATCTTGCTTAGACACTCTTTTTCCATTTAAGGTGAAAGTGTTCCTGTCACAAAGATTAATCTACCAAATCCTTCAGAATATCCGAAAGCAGTGGGAGATGAAATATACAGTCCAGAAGTGCATAAACGGCATACTTTGTTCTGTGGAACCAATGTCATTCAAACCCGTTTTTATACTGGAGAATTGGTCAAAGCTCTAGTAGTGAGAACAGGTATCGATTGTGAAGTTTATCACTTGTTAACGTAGTACTTGCTTTTATAGGTGTATGTCAACTGATAGTTTGAAGTATTGTATTGAATGTTGCTAAGCTTGGATAAATGAGTATACCCCAAATAACTTGATAAATGTCTTACAACAGTAATAGAACTAGATAATGGCCTGGAGAGTATCAGTGGGCAAGCAAGAAAGTGAAGCAGTCTTTAGCATCAATTTAAAACTTACCTGAATGCATTTTCAAGTCCTTTAGATGTTTTTTACTTTGTGTTGTTTGAACTACATATGCCTCTTTGAAAAGGTTTGGTGTGCCATCGGATTGGGTGGGTAGTGGGGAACGGCTTATTTTAGTGGAGTCATTGGCAATGTCAGATGTTTTTCTTTGCCCATAGTTTTGTCAAAGCACATAACATTTACTTAAAAAATGTGTTCGACCTAGCCTTTTCTACAGAAGTGCTTATTCATACTAGTATGGTAAAGGTTTGGTTTTAGATAATACAGATGTTCTATTAAAAACAATTGCATGGACTAATGTAGTTGCAGGATTCTGCTTTACAAAGATGATCTTAAGAAAACCACCACAAAATATATCAGTGTAAGCTATAATCCAAGCTACAATAGAATTGCATAGAATAAATTTGACTACATTGACTAGAATACTACTTAAAGCAAGTTTTCCAACAAGTAACTTCATCCTAATTAGCCTCTTCTTTCTCTGGTGTCTTCACCTTCTGTTCATCTGTTTTAGCAGTAAATGTTCTGATTTTTTTATTAAATTCATTAATGTCTTTCTAGTGGCTTTTGTTAGTCTTTTTTTCAAAGAAAAATATTTTCCTTCCTTTGAACACATCTCCCCTTTAATAATATCCATCTCAACTTCTTTTGTTTCTTAAATAAGAAATTTTATGTGCCCAGCCTGACACGTATATACAGATAGGTGGTCCAAAACAGGAACAGAAATGAACTGCTGAAGACTTATTTCTTATACTCTGCAAGAAGAATAATGCTTTTTTTTTTTAAAGTCTGGAACTCTTACAAGGAGAATTGTAATTGCTTCCAACACACTGAGTCTTACTGCCCTGGCATCTGAAGTAATTTTTTTTAATCTGCTCTTTGCCTGTGACAAAAGCAAAGAGCTTTTGTTATAAGCAGGATGAATTTAGCTCTGTGGACCTTGTTCAGATTTTATGTATGGACAAGTACACTTTTCCTGCTATGGCTATATATAGAGAGAGGAGCAAAGGGATATAAAATCCTTTCTGTTCTCCTGTTTGGTTTACAGGGATGGCTTTTAGGCAAGTAGGGAATTTCCCACTTCACAGAACTGGATAGATGTCACAGTGCTTGCAGCTTCTCGCTCCTAAGATGTCCGATAGTAAGAACTAAAGTAATTCTTACCTAGTGAGATACAAGTAAAAATCCCTTTATCTGAGGAGGGGGAATACCACAAAATTGAAGCTACTAGAAAATTTAGTCCTTAAAAGAATTCTAGGAGAGCAGAACTCCATATGGTTGTGTGCAAAGACGTGTAGTCTTAATCTTGTTGTAAATCAGGATGTAAGATTGAGTGGCTGGGACTGTACGCACAGTACTCTTCAGAGTTAAGCCTTTAACATGAAATGTTTGTTACAGCTGCAATATCATAAATACCAATGAAATAATGTATCCATTTTTTTGCTCCTGAAACTCAGTTCATGGATATGTTAGTTTGTATGTCATTGTGGCTTCTATTGTAATTGTAAAGAATTCAAAACTGGTAATTATTTTTAGAGAACAGAAATGTTCACTGAAGCTATCTGTATGTCCAGTGTGTTCTCAAGACACCACATGAGGTTTTCATTTATTGTTTTACCCTGGTGTGTTCTAGCCTATGTGGCTACAGAACCTTCTGTAAAACCATTAAAAAAAAATCAAAAGTAGTTATGATTTTGTTTTTTGACTACTGTGTCAAACTACAAAGCATACATGACTAAATACTCAAGTACATACTGACATGCTGAATTTCTCCGAACAGGCCCATGGTTTGTATTCTGCAGTAGCAAATTCAAAGCCTGGAGGCTTCACGCCCTGTTCCTCTTGTGATGAACTCATCCTCTTTAAGACTGATGCAATAGCTGCTTCGTTCTGGTAGAACCTTGTATGCCGCATATCAGTGTGAAGGGCTTAGCCTTTGCTGGGAGGGCTTAGCCTTTGCTGTGATGGCTTGCAGACTGAGAAGCTGTCAAGGAGCTGTCACTAATGCCAGCGGACCTGACATTGGTATTGAGGTTGTAGTAATAGACTCTGAAGTCTAAGCAGATACAAAATGTTTCGGGCATACAAAATTGGGCACTGGTGTTGGTCTCTTCACATGTTGAGGCGAAGGTTCAAGGAGGCTCTCAGGGTGTCTACTGGTTGTCTGACTCTAAGACCTTTTGAAATCTAGTCTCCTAATTTAGGTGTCAAAATGTGATCAAGAGGTGGGTTTCTCCAAAAGATGACTCTGTGCACTGCAGTTTTTTTCTGAATCTTTCTTTCTGGCTGTCAAGGGAGCTCACAAACTTGCCATTTAAGTACTTAAGGTTGGACTCTATGAGTAACTTCATTTTCTTTTTGCAAGGACTGGCTTAATTAGACAACTAATAAATATACCCACTAGCTCTGCATTGTGAGGGATAAAATGCAGTACAAGAAGCTCTTCCAGGCCAAACCATTTGAGGGCTTTTTACTGCTGCTGTAGAAGAGGGGTTCATTTGTGTCAGCTGCATGTCCTTGCCATAGGAGAGAAGCACTTAGTATGATGTGCACGTACATTTTTGAAGCACCCTAATTACAGTATTGCAAAACATCTGTTACTGTATATTGAGAAACAGTCTTAATGAAATGAGTAGCTTAAGGGTTTCATTGAGGTTTTTAATATATTTGAATAGCTTTGCTCTTGTTTATACTTTTAATAACTTACTCCTTTTTATTTCTAGGCTTTAGTACTGCTAAAGGACAGCTTGTTCGTTCCATACTATATCCAAAGCCAACTGATTTTAAACTCTACAGAGATGCCTATTTGTTTCTCCTGTCTCTGGTAGTAGTGGCAGGCATTGGGTTTCTTTACACGGTTGTCAATAGCATCTTAAATGAGGTATGTTTTCATTTCTGGTCCAGAACTGCCTTATTTTAGAAAAGGTTGATCATGATTTCCAACACGCTTCAGATGATAAGAAACAATTCGATTTTAAGTGAAAATTTCTTTGCTTTATTTTGTATCAATGGTACAAGAAAGACAAGCTTACTGAGAACAAAATTCAGCAGAGGCAGAATTTGAATATATTATAGTGAAATCTGAGTTTACCTCAATTTCTACGGACCCAATTACTAGGCTTTTCTTTATTATATGTAAGATTACCATCTGACTGATACCCAGTTGGAAGAAATAGGATACAGTACATCTAAAGCATGCTGCAGGCAAAAAAATCCTTACCAAGAAATTGATAACTGATAACCTGATAACTGTAATTTTTTTCTCTCCAAAAATTTTGCATTATTCAGTTACTGTTTTAAAGTAATATATTTGCAGGGGAAAAAGCGAAAACTTGAAGTTATGGGTTGTGGATAATTTAGGACTGGATTATTGTGGTTGCTGATGGTGGGTGAAGATTGTGCTAGGTTTCTGGGCAAGCCAGCACGTGCTATACTGGGGAAAGCAATGTGTGGATTTTGCTTTTGGTAACAGTGATGTAATGCTTCAGTGGGATAGTGAATCTTTAAGTAGTGAGTTCTTGTTCATCAACTCTGACCTTTATTGCAGGTTCCGGCTCGTACCATCATCATCGAGTCCCTTGACATTATCACTATCACGGTGCCTCCAGCGCTCCCTGCTGCCATGACTGCTGGCATCGTTTATGCACAAAGAAGGTTGAAAAAAATTGGCATCTTCTGCATCAGCCCACAAAGGATAAATATTTGTGGCCAGCTGAATCTTGTGTGTTTTGATAAGGTTAGGTGAATTTTGAAACTTTGTGTTGCTACCTGGAGAGGCATTGTATTATAAATGGGAATTTGTATAGACTAGCAACTACAAGAAAACTCATTACTTTCACATAAGTTATATAATTTTTGTCCTGTTTGCTTCCAGGTATTCAGTGTTTACCACCTGTTAACTCACATAATTTAGTCTGCTCTAAAAAGTTGTGATAATACAGAGCTGCTTTCTTATCTCAAGACACCCAAGTCCTACTTTATACTGGCATCCCCGAAGTGTGAGAGTTGGGGTCTATTAAGAGTTTTATTTAGTACACAGGATTCTGGAAAATTGAAGTGTGAAGTCAGACTTGTTTCTCATTTTCATTTATTTCAATGCAAAGCCGAACAAGCATATTTTGTTATTATTCCATAACAGAAACACGAGTGAAAGACAGTAATGCCACTAGCCAGAATCCTTTGCTTTTAGCTAATTCTTAGATAAAATTTATTTTCCTCCTTAGAGTTTTAGCTAAAATCTTAAGTACCCACACTAAATTTATTATTTCCCTTGTAAATATATTCCAGTTACTGTTTTAGCCATGTAAGAAAGTAGTACTAAGGGTTTAGTACCTATTTTCTGTCACCCCAACCCCTGAATATAGAGATGTTGAGCTATCATCTTTGGATTTTAAGAGTCTGTTTTGTCCTGTCTCCAAGGAGGGGCATGATTGGTTTGAATGGTTTTTTAAGTTAAGACAGTTGGAACTTAGTTACTAGCAAAAAGCAAGGGAGATACTGTATTTCCTGTCCTGAAGTCTTGATTTTTAAGTGAAAACAAAATAAAATATATTGTTCAGGTGTAATTTGGTTAACTGGCTGTTAATTTTTTGCTTTGCCTGAAGATAACTTGTTTCTGAAGGCTTTTTCTTCTTGCCATGCCCCTTGGTTTATTTTGCAGACTGGCACACTTACTGAGGATGGCTTGGATCTTTGGGGAATTCAACGGGTGGAAAATGCTCGGTAAGGATAAGCTCAGAGCTGGTAGCAAATATGGTACTTAGTTGTGCTTTAACAGCTTCAGCAGAATAGAATAGAAAATGCAATGTGAGCTCATATATGTTTGCATTTCTGTAATGAGCTGTGAGAATGCAACTGAAATCATGGTTTCGGTGTAATGAAAGTCAACTCTCTTACGAGGCTGAGGTGGAATTTAATTTGTTAAAGTCTGACACCTCATTAGGTTCACACTGCAGAAATGATGCAGTTAAAGTATAGCATGTTTCCTTAATCCTGTCCTCCTAAGCGATGACTTTTTGGGCAGCTAAAATGAATTAGCTTAGCTAATTGAGTTAAGTACAAAGTGGTAGGAGGCCTCTGTATGAGGAATCAAACTAGACAGTGAATTAACACAAGAGTTTTTGAAGTAGACAGAAGTTGCAACTGTTTCTGAAGATTCCAGCCCAGAGTCTTAATCTGTTTGCTGTGATGTGTGAAAATACAAGTGAAGAGACTTGTGCAGTCAATTTTCTTCTGTTAATCTAAACAAACTTTTTGAATTGGCTCATAATAAATAATTATAGTGCTAAGTATATTATAACTTCATTGTTTTAGTTTCCTTTTGCCGGAAGAGAGGGCTTGCAGTGAGAGCTTGCTGAAGTCTGAGTTTGTTGCTTGCATGGCAACTTGTCATTCCCTTACAAAAATTGAAGGGGTACTTTCTGGGGATCCACTTGATTTGAAGATGTTTGAAGCAATAGGATGGGTAAGTGTCTGCTTGTTTCAAGAGAAGCAACGTTTTTAAGATCAGTAATCTGAAATTTCCTATGTTGTTATATACAAGATAAGCTATTATATGCTGTTTCAAGCTGTAACTGTAAAACGGTGGGCTTTTGACAATGCCTGGGTGTCAAAGGAAGTCTTAATATGAAAATGTTCCTAAAATGTGTTCTGTGCAACAATTCATAGAACTGAAAGAATCTGAAGAGCTAATTTACTGCTTTCTGATGTTGTGTGTGGCAAGGTTTCAATGCATATAATAAACATGTAAAATAGCTAAGTGGATCTTAAGTTAACTGCTAAATTAAGACACTTAATTCTCACAGGAAGTCTTGTTTAGAAAGGTTATTGCACCTTGGGCTGACTTCCAAGGCTGGTTTTTTTTCTGAAAATTGCATTATGAGAATCAAAGTTAATGAATGTATAAATTAGTTGATTATTTTTAATACAGATTTTAGAAGAAGCAACTGAAGAGGAAACAGCCCTTCATAATCGAATCATGCCGACAGTGGTTCGACCTTCAAAACAACTTTTCCCAGAATCCAAGCAAGCAACAAATCAAGAAATGGTATAAAAATTCAAAGTAATTCTTTGAGTTAAAGTAATCCTTCATGTTAAACAAATACATTTTACCGTATGCTGTGGTTCTGGCTGATATAATTCAAACAGGATCAAAACTGTGTAGTTTTTGATGGCAAAGATAGAGAAGACATGTTTAAACCATTCTTGAAGGTAGTGGTTCAGTATATGCCACTTTCAAGGTGAACAGACTGATTGCAAGCATTATTACCCTTACAGGCTGGTTATAAAGTTCTGTAGTGCTTTTTGAGCTTACGCATTTTAATATTAGTATCGTTACCAAATTCTTACTGTACTAATGAAGTGCTCAGGTGTGCTCACCTTGCAGTTTTAGTTAAAACAATGGTTTGTTAATGTCACTGCACGGTACGGAATTCTTGCCACTGTTGTACCTTAGAGATATATGTTTTAATTAAGTGCAGAGTTAAAAATAAAATGTCCTTGGCAGATTTAAAATTTTCTTCTATCTGCATTTTCATAGAATCATAGAATAGTTTAGCCATTCCCTTGTCCTGTCGCAACAGGCCCTGCTAAAAAGTCTGCCGCCATCTTTTTTATAAGCCCCCTCTCTGTGTGCCGGTGTTTCACCACCCTCAGCGTAAAAAATTTCTTCTTATATCTAATATCTATCTACCCCCCTTTAGTTTAAAGCCATTCCCCCTTGTCCTGTCGCAACAGGCCCTGCTAAAAAGTCTGCCGCCATCTTTTTTATAAGCCCCCTTTAGGTACTGACAGGCTGCAAGAAGGTCTCCCCGAAGCCTTCTCTTCTCCAGGCTGAACAACCCCAACTCTCTCAGCCTTTCTTCATAGGAGAGGTGTTCCATGATTGTT